GACATCCCTGTTATATCACCAGCATCTAGCCCAGATGTGGAGTATGTCTTAGACTACCAAGATTCTAATCTAAAGAACAGAAAAATGGAGAAGCCATAGAGAAAAATAGACAGGTCAATATGCAAGGCAGACTCAGAGACAAAAGCATTTAGGAGTGAAAAGAAAGGTCTTTGCAAAAATGTTGCAAGGGGGTCAGACTCCATGCAGCCTCGGAGGCAGCCTGCCCATTCCCTACCAGGGCTGTGTGTCTTCAGCAAAGTGGAGAAGACTGTGGAGAGATGAAGCCGGAGAGGTGGGCAGGGCCAAGTTGCTATGGGCCCTGGAAACCATGCAAAGGAGTGAGAAGAAAAGAGGGAAGTTAGAAAGAAACTGAAAGCACAAGCATATTGTTCAGACTACTCTGGCTTCAAGAGTCAGCGGCCTAAACCAAAGAGGGAATGTACTGGCTTGTGTCACTGGAAAGTGTCGGAGATTGGACAATATCATCAGGTTTCTCTTTCCCGTTCCCCGTCCTCACACCCACTTTTTGTGCTGGCTTCCATCTCTGATAGCCTCTTTCCACATGCTGGCTTCTGGCAACTCCAGCTTTGTGATGAACAGATAAGTGGCCCTGGCAGTTCCTGATAGTTCCAGTAAAAATCTTAGAACTGATTTTCATTGGACAACTTGGGTCATGTGCCCATCCTTGAAATAACTATGTTCAAAACGTTAATAGGTCAGGCTAGGGTCATATGATCACCCCTAATGGGGCAGGAAGGCAGTCCCCCACAGAAAGTAGAATGCCGTTTCAAACTCCACTCTAAGCAAAACCAAAGACCCAGGGAAGTTGTTTCCTTCTTTACACATAAAAATTGGAAAGAATCTTTGGAGAAAGAAAAAGTTAAGATGCTACGGAAGACAGGGAGACTGTGGGAGCAAAGCCTGGAAGACATGGGAAGGGATGGAGTTCAGGTAGGAACATGGGTGGCTGAGATGATTATGGACTCGTGGGGCTGGGAAGACCTTCAGCTCCCCTCCCCTCTCCATTACAGGGCCATTTGACATCCATTGGGATGTGATCAGTGATGGATAGTTCATGCTTTTGCAAAGTATTGAATTTTATTGTCATACAGATTTGATTTTTTAAAATGCCTGCTTTTCATTAAACTGAAATCTAGTTCTCAGCTTGCCCTATAGATTAACAAACCTTAAGGCTACTACCTCATCAGATGGTCCTTTAAGTGCCGGCAGACACATTCCTGACAGCATTTTCTCTTTCGGCCAAGCCCACGAGTACTTTTGACTACATATTAGGCGACATGGTTTCCAGCCTAAGTGTCTTTCTCTGGATTCATGCTCGTTTGTGTGTGTGTCTCCTTAAAAGGCACTACGCCTCCAGATGAGGCCTGACCACCGCTGAGTTCAGTGAGACCATCTTTTGCTCCCTTTCAAAAATCCTCACCTAAGGATATGCTTATTGATGAGAGAGAGAGAGAGAAACAATGTTGACAGAGAAACATCAATTGGTTGCCTCCTGCACACATGTCCCAACCAAAATCCCAAAACCTCGGTATGTGTGTTGACCAGGAATTGAACCCATGACCTTTTTAGTGTACAGAATGACACTCCAACCGACTGGGCCACCTCGCCAGGGCTATTTTTGCTCCCTTTATCTGGACGTTATACTAATGCAATTTAAGACTTCATTGGATTTTTTTTTAACACTATTATTACCAACAAAAAACCCAGGTCTTTTTTTCTCGTGAATGGTTGCTAAGTCAGGCCTTTTGTAATTATGCAAGTGGTAATGTTTCTGTGTGGTTTGTTGGTTTGTGTGTGTGTTTTTTTTTTTAGCCAAGAAAATGGAACTTTCTTATTTTTTCTTTTAAATCTCTTCTTGTTGTTTCTTTCAGACCCATCCTGGATTTGGTCCTGCCAAAACATGACCCTTTAAACCGGGTGGTTTAAGACCTGTAGACTCTGCTACAAAAGAATGGATCCCTTATTAACCCAACTCCTTTGTCACATGTTGTACCACTGATAAATGGGCAGCCTTTCTAGCCCAGAGCTGTGTGTGTGTGTGCGCGTGAGTGCGTGTGTGCATGTGTGATGATGAGCTTTGTCCTATGGTTCCAGGTCAGTCACTGGCAACCTTTGCCCCCACTTTAGTTTGTATCAACTGTTCTGGATGAAAGAACACCATTTCATCCCTCTCCCATGGCCAATGAAAGGGTAATAGCCAGGCCTTAGCCTGTTTTCTCAGTGGTTAGAGCGTCAGCCCTCGGACTGAAGGGTCTCGGGTTCAATTCCAGTCAAGGGCACCTACCTCGGTTGCAGGCTCAATCCCCAGTGCTGGTGGGGGTGTGTACGAGAGGCAACCAGTCGATGTGTCTTCCTCACATCAATGTTTCTCTTTCTCTCTGTCTCTCCCCCTCCTTTCCACTCTCTCTAAAAATCAATGGAAAAATATCTGTGGGTGAGTATTAACAAAAAGGAGGAGGGGAGGGAAGGGGAGGGGAGGGGAGGGGAGGAGAGGGGAGAGGAGAAAGAGTAGTAGCCAGGACAGCTCTAGGGGGCATTTAGAATCCGTCTCAGCTGGCCTATGTTTTAGAATAGAGCCCTTTAGTGGGAGCCCTGACTAACCATCACCATGTAACCAAGTGGTCTGATGAGCCTTTTACCCACCCACATTCCTAGATACCTACTCCCTAACATTCTTACTGGAACTGAAGACTCTGTGCTGTACCTGTGTTATCTGAGGGGTCCGGATTCCTTTATGACTCCCTCATCTGGTTCATAGAAGAACCTTTCATGGGGCTATACCTGCTTCCAGAATTTCTAAGGGTCTCTCTGATCTAAGATTTGCATTCCTACATGTCACCTCAGGCTTCTTAGACGAACCCTTTGCATGTAGACATACTCCAAAGTGAAGTAAAATTCACTTTGTCCTTTGGAATTGATAATTTTTTAAAAATTTTTGTTTACTGATTTGAGAAAGAGAAATATCAATTTGTTGTTCCACTTATTTATGCATTCACTGGTTGATTCTTATACGAGGGAATATGCCTTGACTGGGGATCAAATCCAGAACCTTGGCGTATCAGGATGATGCTCTAACCATCTGAGCTACCCGGCCAGGGCTGAACTTGATTTTGACTGCAGACATCTCCCTGATACGAGGTGCCTCTTTTACTTCAGTTCATTTCCAATGCTCTCTCAGCCCCAACACCACCCTCCTAACAGCTTGAGCTGGCTTCCCCACCAGGAGTTCCCAAGTGCTCGAGGCTCTGAGAAACTGTCAATTACGATCATTAAACAAAATGTGCAACTGGGACACTGAGGATGTGGTCAAAAGTGGAGCCTCTTTCCTAACCCAAAGAAGGGAGGTAAATTGTGCCAGGAGTAGATTCCAACTGCCCAGGATTGTGGCAGGATTGTAAGAAGCTAGGAAAATTCCTTGACACGCAAAATAAGGGAAATTGAGACAAAACAATTAAACAAGGCCAAACTATTTGAGCAATTTACAGCCAGACAATGAATCACAAAGTTTTAATTTCCCCAACCAAGGACACCTAATAGCAAACGGTTTACACATTCTAGACAGTGCCCAGATAGAACGGCCTGGTCCCAGACCCTCTTCGATGACGTTCTTTGAAAATAAATCCATCCAGAAAATAACCCCTGACATCTCTATATATACATTTTTTTTAAATTTTATTGTTGAAAGTATTATGTATGTCCCCTTTTTCCCCATCGACCCCTTCTAGCCCACCCCCTGCCTCAGATCTCTATATGTACATTCTGATGAATTAACATATTGAACACACCTGGAAGCTCATGAATATTCTGGCAAGACCCTCTCCTGAGACCTCCCTTAGGATTCTGGCCAGCCAAAGAGAGATTAAAGCCTCAAGATAAAAGACCCATGGCAAGCTCTAGCTAGAGTACGGCCACACCTTGTATCTCTGCTCTCTTTCTCCTAAATTCTAAAGGGCCCCACGAGACTTGCAACCAGGGGAGTAGTGGGCAGTGGCAGCTTATCCCAGGCTTACTCCCTGAACTTGTCTCCAAGGCCCCCTTTTCCTCTGACTTTCTCTCTCCTGTTGCTTCTTCTACCTTAAGCCCTTCCTTTGTTCCACTGTCCCCAGCTCAAATAAACATACTCTCAAAATCACCTGGACTTGTTTGTGAAATCTTTCCTGCATGACGTCAAGAACCCATACACTACCGGCTGACCTGAGACAGACCCACGCCAGGCCTGGTTCCTGGTTCCTCAATGCAAAAAAAATAGCGCATAAGAAGTAATTACTAAATCTAACAGGAAATTTTGTAAGAATTCTTAGATACTGAAACATTCTTCCTTACCAATTCAAAATTAGATCAGAAAATGAAAATAATTTTTCTTTGTATTTATTAGCCTGTCTAAGATTAAAAACTGAAAGCCCAAGCCTAGATGTATGGGACTTTTTCATAGCAAAATAGAAAGAAAGTACCTGGAAGGCAATCCAAATAAAATCATGTAAAAAGAAGTCATGCTGACATATCTGCTGCGGAACTGCTCATCAGAATGTTTAGACCGGATCCAAGAATGTCAATCCACTGGCTCGCATACTGATTATTTTGGGACCCAACACAGAATTCAGAAGGAAAAATATAAGATTAGCACTCAAAGAAACTGCCAATTCTAAATTTAAAGATATTAGCAAATATACTCCACATTTCTTTTATCAAAAAAAGTCAAAATAAGGGAAAATACCACATGATCTCACTCATTCATGGATAATTGAGACCATTATAAACTTTTGAACAATAATAGATACAGAGGCAGAGCTGCCTCAAACAGAGTGTCAAACTGCAGCAGGAAGGCCGGGGAGGGTTCGGGGGCAAAAAATTAAAAAATAAATAAAAGTCAAAATACAGTTTTGTATTTAATGTGAACAGTTTAAACTGTCTAAAATAAATATCAGTTATTTCAGAACAAAAAATATTAAGAACCATAAGGTGTTAGGTCTTAGAAGGGGAAAGAAGGAAGAATTCAAGAGCTCATGGGGAAGAAAATGATACTGGATTTTCCCCGGGTCTGGACCAAAGACAGAGAGACTTGAAGAAGAGGAAGCGAGAGATGACATGTGGGAAGGGAGGGTGAGGGGGTTGATGTTTCCCCAAAGACCTGGATATTCCAGTAAAGGAAGGGCGAGAAACTACTTTTAAAAAATATATTTTATTGATTGATTTTAGAGAGAGGAAGGGAGAGAAGAAGACATCAATTTGTTATTCCACTTATTTATGCACTCATTGGTTGATTCTTTTATGTGCTCTGTCCGTACCTCACCCTTGATACCTTGGCGTTCTGGACAATGCTCTAACCAACTCAGCTATCCAGCCATGGCTGAGAAACCACTCTGTTTCCCTCACTAGACTATAGATTTTGATAGGGCAGCGAATGGACCTGTTTTATCCCCTACTGTAAAACCCATCACCTAGGACAGTGCATGGCATATTGTTGATTCTCAATTAATATTTGTTAAATAAAATTAATGAGTGTGGGCATAGGGACTTAGAAGAGTGAGAAATGCTGGGAATGACTTTGTTAATAGTAAATAAGAAATGAATAATGGGGTTACTAATTTGAGTTTAGGTGGCATGCATTTAAAGCGAATCATTTTTCTGAAGTTCAGAAGCAAGAACAGAAAAACAGACAGATGGGAACTGACATGACCGAGAGAGTAGAATGGAAAAGGGGTAAGAGGGTCTGATATGCACGGGAGAGCAATGGAGGCAAGGCTGAAAATGGGGTCAAGGGTGGAGACAGAATGAAGGCAGCAATAGACTGTCAAGGTCAGGAAATTACAAGTACTTCTGAGGACTTTAGGACAAAGAACCTCTTTAAAACATCAGTGTAGCAGCATATAGCTTTGTACAGGCTAAGCATCCAACTCAAATTTTTACTCTAAATTATGTGACTATTCAGACATGGACTGTGATTTGTTTTTCTTTGTAGCCTGGTTTGTTAACTAAATAAATTTTTAAAAGGAGGGGAAAAGGAAGGTAATTAGTTAAAGACATGACTGACATGTCTTATGTCATTTAAATTATGAGCTATTCAGATCTTTATGCACATATAAACGTCTATAAATACTTGCTATATATAATAATAATCACAAATCCACATTCCATCACAAACACCTGCAGATATTTTGTGCAATATGGATTAATAACAATGATGGAAAATCTATCAATTACTTGAGTTGTGTTCTATCTTCTATGCTGTAGGATGGAGCCAAGATCTTGTAAATACTGGGCTTGAGGACCCAAGGAACAAGCTGGAGATTTGGAGTTACTGAGGGCAGAGAACTAGAACCGAATTCCATGGGTACCTTGTCCAGAATGGAAAGATGACAATTTGACCAGGATCAAGAACCAGGGGACTAGCCAGGTCGAAGGGAGGGACAAATGAGCAGGTAGTCAAAATCCAGAATTACTGTGTGTTTGCCTCTTTGTAAGAACAAAAGTCAAATTCTCTGCTAAGACCCTTTAGCCTTTTAAGTTCTTTGCCTTCAGTATCAAATGTACTTTCCCTTCTAGGATTTCCTATTTAAAAGATGAATTTTTTGAATGAATTTTCTTATCGCCTCTTGTTGAACTCTACACTTCTTTTTATTTTGTTTTAAATTTTTTCATGCCATTTATTTTTCAAATACACATATTTAGGTTTCTCAGGCTGGAAAATTTTCACTTGTGAAAAATAAATGCAAAGGTACATGAGAAGTCTAGTAAAGAAAATATAGTGACTCATTGTTAAATGGGAGTGAGGTGGGAGTGGAGATTGAAAGGAGAAGAGAATTAAAGGAACTTCCCCCCTCCTCCAGATTTCCTAATCTTCAAAATGTAGTATTTCAAGGGACTTCATTGTTCATTTTGAAGGAAAACAAAAAAACTCTACACTCATTTTCATATTGCATTTATAAGTCAGTAATATTAAGATGGAAACAAAGGAAATACCTCTTTATGACTGATCATCTACTTTAGTCATCCAAATCCTTGAATCTGATTGCTCTGCAGATTTGTACTTCTGAAAATAGAATATCTCAATTATTGTTTTGAAATCTCAAAATGCTTGCTCTTAAATTATTCCTCTTCTGTTTAACTCTGAAACACAAAGAAGATAACATAAAAGAGCTTGTGTGATGTATGGAACAACAATATACAAAATCATCTGGATTAGGCACCTTCCTCCTCTTGGTAAAAAATATGTGGTAACACAGTTTTAGTGTGTGGGAATTTTTATTTGAACAAAGCCATCTCAAAATCACAGCCACATAGTAATTGTTCAGTTTTCCTCTCATGGCCTTGAGACATAGTGGTTAAAAATTTTGCTTTTATCACAGGATATAAAACCCCTAAGAAACTATTTGAAATTGAATACAGATCTCTGGCCCTGAGACTTCAGATATTTTTCTTCCTTGCTTAGTTATCCAACTATTTTAAAAATCTTATTCTCTTTGATCACTGATAGGAATGTTGGCTTGGCACAGTCACTTTAGCTCCACACTTTGAAAATTCCCAAGTATGAATGTCAACAAGTTAACCAAGGGTTCTAAATTCCTCCCCCTACCCCCACCCATCCCGCGCCCCTCATCCCCATCCCCAAGTATCATTTAATACATTCAAGGTATGACATGTCATCTCATGCCCATCTTTTTAGATCACAGAGACTTTCAATTAGCCATGTTGGATTCTGACCACATTTGCTAGGAAATAACTGTTTAAATATGTCTTCTAATACATTTCTGATGGGATTCCCCTGGCAAAGGTAGATGTGATTTTTAAAACTGAAACCATCCTAGAAATAGACATTTTTGGAAATTGCTGATGAGTTTCCTAGCTAGCATACATGGAGCTAAAGTGACAATTCCACTGAGGAGGATAAATGGCAGAAAAGAAGGACGAAGGTAGCACTCTGCCAAACAGGCTGTTCACTTCCAGCAGGAGTTAGTTCATACCACACTGCCTCTTCCCACTGTTCTCTCTCTGCTTAAATGTTTTGTCTTCTTACTGTTTCAGTGCTGAGATCCTGCCAAAAATATTAAACTCAATTTGAAAGGAAATGGAAAATGTAATAATAAAACTTCAAAAAATGTTATTACAGGGAGGAATAATTTTCTTTAAAATTCTATTGTTCTATGATACTCCATCTTCCAATAAAAGCCAGTGAAACCAATTGTTCATCTGAAAAGAACACTTTTGATAATATTTACTGAGCTATTACTATGTGCCAGGCACTCTGCTAAATGCTTTATCGTTAGTATTTTATCTAATTCTCACAGAAATCCCAAGAAAGAGGTTCTTTTATTGCTCTCATTGTAAAGATGAGGAAACAGATGTAATGGGACCTTGATCTATGAACATCCATCTCTCTGTAACAGGCAGACCTTGGGGATATTGAGGTTGCCATAATAAAGCAACTATTGCAATAAAGCAAGTCACAATTATTTTAGTTTTCAGGGCATACAAAAGTTAGTATGTTTACATTATATACCAGTGATTTTTTGATTGGTATTTTCAAAAGCTAGTAAGAATTTTAAAAACATGTAATACCTGACTATTTAGTGGGACACTGGTCTCTTTTCCCTTATATTGTCAAATAAAAATAATGACAACAGTCAACACAACAATAGTCATCCAGTGTGAATGCTGTCTTAAAGCATAAATAAACAGTTCATATAATAGAGTTGCATCTTGTTGGTCACATCACATTACAAGGCTGTGTCTGATTGGTTAATTCTTGGTACCAAAAATCCTTATATACCAGCATAGGCACCTAATTTTTTATAAAGTCACTTTGGAGCAAAAAGGGTAGGTAATTACTATTGTAATTTTTAAGGAAATCAATCAAAATTACACTTTTGGGTCAGATCAGCAAAATATATATATGCTGCAGAATTTTAGTAAGTAGTTTATGTGTGCCATGAGATAAAAACGTTGAAAATTGCTGTAGTCTCTTAAATATACAATAGCACTATGTCTTTAAAAAAGTACGTACCTTAATTTTTAAAATAAACAAAAACACTTTATTGCTGAAGAGGGGCAGAAATCACTATAGAGAACACGATCTCTGTAGATTTGGAGTAAATTTTTTGAAGCAGATTTAACTAGATGCCCAATTTATTCACAAAATAACTTAGTATTCCATCCATAGACTATCTAGCTTTGAGTCTTGTACATTCAGCGCAACCTCCTAAGTAAACTAGTTGTAAAATGTTACTCCTCCGTGATTTCACTAAGGTGAATTTTGTCATGTGGTTTTATGTCAGCTGCAAACCACAGGGTACTGGCCCCCAAGACCCCACGATGTTGTCAAGGCATCAGGAAGAACAGTTGTCTAGAGACTGTTAGAGGCCACACACTTGTCACCAAGGACTCCTGTTCATGGGTCATCGTTATTATCAGATTCCCTAACCCGCCTTCCTCTCCATCAGCACAGGATTTCCTTGTGAAGGTGACAGCCTGAATGCTGCCTAATTAGGCTGTGTGATTTCAAGAGTGAATGTACTTCATTACATTATTCGGTGTAAGGTTCTAGGTCATATCTAAAAATACCCCAGCTTGAAAATTAACCCAATCTCCTGTTTGCTTTTGTTTGGAATCTTTTCACTTTCTAGAGAATAATGCGGAAAGCTAAATCCAGTATTACATAAGTGTTATTCGTTTGTTAAAACTATATCTTGTAAGTGAGAAAATTATTCTTTGTGTACATTTAAAAATAACCCCTTTCAGTTATATAACTAGCAATCAGGACCAGTTTGTTTGTGGGCATGTGTTCATACACATTTTTTTTTTAATACCTGTCTTGCTTCAAAAAGGGTAACAGATGGGTTACAGATACATATAATATAGCGCCAGAAAAATAAAATCTGAAGTTGGTGAAGGAATGGAAACAGAATTTAAGCCAGGAGTGAGTTACGTATACAAAGCGCATCCTGTTTGATCTTATACACAGGCCGGAAGGCCACATATATGGCTCTAAGCTTTCTCACAACCAAGGGAAATACTGTTAGTTCCACAATTACGTACTCAGAAGACAAAAACAAAAGAGATCATAAACAAGGGAAATAACTGTATCAGGTGCTAAAACCAAGGAAAAATACTTTCCAGATCTTGCTAGAGAGATTATTATAGTCACAAACTCCATGGCACTTTCTTATAAATCCCTTAATGAAGGCCCAAAGTAATAGACCAAAGTGAATTCATTAAGGAAATCTGAGGAGAGGAAGGAGCCATGGTGTGTTAGCAAGGCCACTCTGGAGCACATCCACGGGGCACCATGCGTGATCTGTGTCTGCGGCACGTCCTGCGGTAACACAGGGCACAGCTTTCACATCTGTATACATTGGGCTCAACACTGTGGGTCAGAGGAGTTCTGTAACTTTCCCACGGCCCCACAGCTAGAACCTAAATGCTGAAACCTTGTAGAGGAGAAAAAGGAAAGAACCGTATAGGAAGAAATTTCTATGACCCTGCCAGAAAGAAAAGGAACCAACTTGGACCTCAGTAAATTTATTTACATAATGACGGATAAGGGTGAGTGGCCAGGAAGTAGCACATTCCAGTGAGTCAACTCTGCCTACTGAGAATCTCCCAGGTCTTCCTAGATGAGGTCCCAAGACTGCCTCCCCAAACCACATTAAATGACAGTGGGAATAAAGGCCCCAAGCTCCAACTCCTGGTTGCATTTTTTTTCCCAGCGAAACAAACTCCAGGCAAAGCCTCCTGCCTCCAATAGCCTACCCAGTCCTCCTGTATCATGACAGGACAACGCTTTACCATTTTTGTGTCTCCCAATGTTTAGGGAAGGCATGCCATGTGGGCATGGCTAGATTTCTTTGCTTGCTTCCTTGCTCTTTCCTTGGCATTAAGTTCCTCACCTTCAAAGTTTAGTGGGAAAGACCTGCGCGTAACAATGAAGTACTTTACACAGCAAATTTCAGAGGTGAGCACAGGGTTGCTGTGGATTGAATTGGCCTGTAAGAACAAGCAAAGTTTAATGTAATTGAGCCAGGCAGAAGAGGAGGAGGAGGAGAAGGAAGAAGAAAGTAGGAAGAAAGAAGAAGAAGAAAAAAAATGACAGGAGAAAGGAGGATGTATGGTACCACAAAAACTTGATGTAGCTGAAGAAATTCAGACTTTGTGGCACCAATGGAGGGGCCAGGCTGCCTGTATGGTCCAAATCCCAGCTCTGCCACTTACCAACTACATGACTTGAGCAAATTACTTAGGATCTGGAGCTTCAAATCCTAAGACGTTGAAGGGATAATAATAGCACCTACCTTTTAGGATTTTAATGACAATTGAATGGCTTAATATTTATAAAGCACTTAGAACAGTTCCTGACATGTACTATGTACTCAATGAAGAGTAGGTATTATTGTAGCCCTGTTGTTCTCTTTCACTCATTCCCCATTTTTATTCCATTCTACACAGCCTTACAGATTCTGCCTCTAAAACAAATACCGAGACCATTCACTTCTCTCTCCATCTTGGGCCAAAGAACTATGATTTCTTTCCTGGATTCTTGCAGTAGCCTCCTAACTCGTCTTCCTGCTTCCACTCTTGTTCTCTCACAATCTGATCCACAAAGCAAACAGAGTGATCCTTTTTTGTTGTTGTTGTTAATCCTCACTGGAGAATATTTTTTACGTTGATTTTTTAGAGTATAGAAAGGAGGGGGAGAGACAGAGAGAGAGGCACATTGATTGGTTGCCTCCTGCAGGTGCCCCAACCAGACCCAGGAATTGAGCCCGCAACCAAGGTACGAGGTATATGCCCTTGACTAGATTCGAACACGCAACCCTTTAGTCCACGGCCGACGCTAATCACTGAACAAACCAGCTAGGGCCAGAGTGATCCTTTGCAACGTAAGTCAATCACACATTGTACCAACTATTTCGAATTCTGCTTATCAGAACTTTCAAAGGTCTTTAATAATGACTCCCTCTATCTCTCTAACCCCATGCCTTTTGTATTCCCTCTTTTTTAAAAAAATGTATTTTATTGATTTTTTATAGAGAGGAAGGGAGAGGGATAGACAGTTAGAAACATCAATCAGCTGCCTCCTGCACACTCCCTACTGGGGATGTGCCCGAAACCAAGGTACATGCCCTTGACCAGAATCGAACCTGGGACCCTTAAGTCCGCAGGCTGACGCTCTATCCACTGAGCCAAACCGGTTAGGGCCATATTCCCTCTTACTCACTCTACTTCAGCCTCAAGTTTGTCTTGCTAGTACCTTTGCACCTGCTATTCCGTCTGCCTTCCCCATCTCTTGTTTTCCTTCTTCTTGTCCTGGAGAACACAGCTCAAATGTCAGCAGAGTGGACTTCAGTTTGAGACACGGAAGTAACAGCCTACCTGGTTTCTGCCTCTCCCAACCCCCGGCCCCATGGCCCTTCCCCACTCCCCGAATGTAAGCTCCATAGAGCAGAAACAAAGGCTGTCTTTTTCATTACTGTATTCCCAGTGCCTATAACAACAAATCTGTCTCTCCAACATACCAGGTACTGAATAAGTATTTATTAAACTAATGTTGAGTGGATTAGAATAGAGGAAGAATGGAGAAGGCCGCCAAACATTAAGGCACCAGGGGCCAATTATTATGCGTTTGCAGTAATCCGGTGGGAAATGAGGAGACAGTAGCAGTGGTTTTCAACCTTGGCTGTGCATTGGAATCATCTGGGGAGTGATTCTTAAAAACCCTGACGCCTGTGGGCCCTCCTCAGAGATTCTGATTTAACTGGTGGATGCAGCCTGGGCATCAGGATTTGTAAAAGCTCCGCCACGTAATCCATGTGCAGCCAAAGTTGAAACCAATAGCAGAGTGAGTGCAGGGGTGTTTAGAATGTATCATAAGTAGGACATGGTTGCTAATTTTGAATTGGAAGTGGCCAAAAGGAGGGTTTCCTGGGAAAATTCCTAGATTTCTGCCTTGGGCCTGGGTGAGTGAGACAGGCAAGTTTTGAGAAAAAGATAAATTCTGCCTTGGACAGACTAAGTTTGAGGTGCCTTTGGGGATTCAAGGGGAGATGTTCAATAGATTTGTTTCTTAATAGACTTACGTTGCCTTAGTGAAGAGTAGGAAATCCCTCTACTTTTCAAGAAGACAAGCAGGAAGAGGCATCCTGGAAAATATGACAATTGCAGTGTGCCAGGCCACGCCCACCCAGCACAGCCTCTTTACTCAAAACCCCCTTCCAAGCCCATGCCCCATCTGTTCTGAAACGTGTTCAACATGTTGACATGTTTTCAAGAAGGATTACATTATGTATGAATACTGTTCCATAAATCCATTTAAATCACTATTCTTGTACTACCTTTACGCTTAAACTACCCCTTTGATTAAATTGCTGGCAGCCTTCAAATAGCATTTAAAGGAATATACGTCTAACAGCTTAAAAATTTCCAATATGTGAAAATAAAACATGCCCACCATTACTTCCTTTTAGTTCCGTCGTTAAAGATACTTAAATTGCTTCACTTGTTTAGTTTTCTAATTGGTAAACATTTACTGGGTTACCAAAGACACCAAGTACCATCTGAAAGACCATGATTCCTTGTTTTGTTTCTAATTTAAATTAGACACACTAACACAAAGCCCAAAAGGGCGATATATTTAGTTAAGTAACAGATGGCAAAGGGACATTCTGTACAGCATCTATCACATTCCATTTCTCAGTATTCCAAGGAAGAGTACACTTAAATCTTGAAGAGAAATAAACTAGGAAGGAATGGACCCGGACTGGACTGAATATTTACTCAACTAAGAATTGATAGCCAAGTCATGCTTAGGTTAAAAAAACTCAGGGATATGAACTGGCTTAAAGAATACAAGGGGCTGGCCCGGCTAGTGTGGCCCAGTGGTTGAGCATGAACCTATGAGCCAGGAGGTCACGGGTTCAATTCCCGGGTCAGGGACATGCCCAAGTTGCGGGCGGTGTGGGATGTGCATGAGGCAGCCAATCAATGACTCTGTCATCATTGATGTTTCTCTCTCTCTTTCTCTCCCTTCCTCTCTGAGATCAATAAAAATATACATTTTTTTTAAAAAGAATATGAGGGGATGGAACAAAGCTAAAGTAATTCCGAATGTATCACTAAGAACTGAAATATGAATTCTCAATACTTAAACGACTTTGACAAATTAGGAAAGGGGGGGGGGGAGTCAGCGGAAAATATTCCGCGAGCCCTTGCGTAGGGTGTTATATTGTGGCTCAGGCTGCTCCCCGCAGCCCCCGCGGAAGGCTGAGGTCTATTGACACTAACCGGGCGCGGGCGGGGGAGCGCCTCCCTCCGGGGAGGGACATTCCCCGGCGGACAGCGGACGGCGGACG